AAGTACCCCTCCCCCAACTGATCGCGGGCTGCTGCTAATGGGCTTGTTGGCAGTTGGTTATAAAATCGAACCGATAATGTTATCGGTCCGGTTTTGTACGTTTGGCAAAACCGGACAGATAAAGTTATTGGTCCGGTTTTGCTAGACTTATATTAAAAACTAGACAGATAAAGTTATTGGTCTGGTTTTGCCTACGGACGAAACCAGACCAATAATTTTATCGGTCCGGTTTTGCTTGACTTACAAAACCGCACCGATAAAATTATCGGTCCTATTTGGAACAATAGGTAGCCAGGCACCGACCGACAGGCAACCAGCGGGTCAAGCCACATAATTTCCAAGCACTGACTTTGGCGATTTTTCACGCCCTGAATACTTCAAAGAAAACTCTGAAAATTTAGGATCTGATAGATTTCGTCGTGATCTTTCCGGGAAAAATATCAAAAAAATGAAAAACAATTGTTAGATAGTGAAATAATCGACACGCCGAATCGGCGCGTTTTCCATTTTTGCCATTCCGCCACCTATGGGCCAAGGGAAAGTGCCCTAACTTCAATGAATTTTTGCTCTCAGACCAGTGCAAAACAAAATCTGAAAACTGGTGCCCTTGTAGATTAGGTCGTTGTCGTTTTAGAAAAAATATCAAAAAATGAAAAAAAAAAATGATGGTGAAATGATCACCGCGCCAATTCGGCACATTTTCCATTTTCACCATTATGCCACATGTGTGCCAACAGAAAATTACCACCCAGGCCTCAAAAAAGTACCCCAACTTCAGAGATTTTTCACGCTCAGAGTAATGCAAGGAAACATCTGAAAGTTTGTGTCCCCATTTACTAGTTTGTGATCTTCTCAGGAAAAATATCAAAAACATAAAAATAAAAAACTTGACCGCGAAATGAAGTGCGGAGGTGATTCAGTGCACTTTGCACTTTTGCTACTAAGCCGGTTCTCTGGCTTATTCTACCGGTAGCCCACAGCAGCGTGTGCTACCTGTCCCCTGGAGTTTTCAATGTCGGGGGGACCGGTGGTTTAATCGGAACGATAATTATAGGTCCTATCTTCAAACCAACTGCCACTCGGTCTGCCTGCCTGCCTGCCTGCCTGCCCGCCTGCCTGCCTGTCACCTGACTGCCTGCATGCCCACCGGCCAGTCGGCCCGCCCGCTGCTTGCATGCCTGCCCGCCGGCCCGCCCCGCCTACCTTCCTGCCTGATACCCGCCTGTCGGTCTGCCTGTGCCTGCCCACCCGCCTGCCTGCCTGCCCCGCCTGCCTGCCTGCCCGCCTGCCTGCCTGCCTAACTGCATGTCTGCCTACCTGCCTGCCTACCTGCCTGCCTAACTGCATGTCTGCCTACCTGCCTGCCTTCATGTCAGTCTGTCTCTCTGTCTGTCCGATAAGTTTAATATCTTATCC